ATGTTCAAAAACCTACGTTTTGGCTTTTTGACAGTGACGCCGTGACTTCACGTTTTGAAATTGCGACGATTTTGGTTCTTGGTGTTTTTTTTAAATTTTGATGTTTTGACTCTTTGGCGTAATGACGTTTTGAAATTTGAATCTTTTGAGTTTTTAGGTTTTATTTAAGATTATTTGTGGTTTCGGGTGCGTAGAGGATAATTGTACGCCGCCATTTTGTGCCATTTTCTCAAAAAGCTCTAAAACTCTCGAGTCCTGAATCCGTTACCTCTTAAAGTGCCAAAACCACAGTTTTCGCGTTTATAATAAGATTTTATACGGTAAGTTTTCACATTTTCGGTCGTTTTGAGTAGAGCATGTCAGTATTTCGGACGCCATTTTGTGACATTCTGACCAGAAAGTCTTCATGGCATAAATCCCAATAGTTCTAAGGTCCCGAATCCAACGTTTTGAAGTTTTGACGTTTTGACACATTGACATCTGAAAAGCTTTGAGGATTTGTGGCTTCGGATGCGTCAATGGTTCTAGTGTTTTGGACCTCATTTCATGTTTAGAAAAAAGCTCTGAAACTCAACGAAGTTTTTGAGGTCTCGTAACCAGCGTGTGGCATTTAGATGTTTTGTGAGTTGACGTTTGGTACCTTAACGCTATGTGCAATAACATTTTGTGCCTTATGTAACAGGTAGGTAAATTTACAATTTGCCGGAATAGGAAATTTTATACTTATACCGCTTCATAGAGAAGAAGAACAGAACGTAAGTATATTCAAGAAAATAAACCGCGTTAAGATAAGAACAAGTGTTCAAGTCGATAAGAGTCGAAACGTCACAGTGTTGTCACGATCTCACAGACCTCAAAATTTGCGTTTCCTTTTGCGAAAAGCCGGTACGTCAATGAACCTAGCAGAGCAAGGTCAGCAGAACACAATCAAACATATTGCATAATTAGGTGCTAATTAAGTGCCCTATTCCCGAATTAAATGCTCCTTTTTTAAAAAAATTATTACATGTTCTGCCAGGTTCATATGAACTCAGCAGAGCACTACCTTTAAAACCCAAGAAAATGAAAAGTGAACTAACTATAATTAGGTGCTAATTAAGTGTCCTATTCCCGAATTAAATGCACCTTTTTTTTTTAATTATAAACCTTGCAGAACATGTATTAAACAAGGAGCATTTAGTTCGGGAATAAGGCATTTAATTGGCACCAAATTAGCACCTAATTATGCAATATGTTTAATTGTGTTCTGCTGACCTTGCTCTACTAGGATAATGGACATCACGGGATGAAAATGCGTGATTTGAATTGGTTAAGAGGGCACGCTTTCCGCGGTCGAAAAATGGGAGTAGTTTCGAATTTAAGTTTCGGTGAGGTATTTAAGTAAAAATCTGGTAGGAGAGTAAGATTCTTACTAGAATTTCCGAAGAAAAGTTATGCAAATTTTTACGTATCGTGGGCGCGGAGATTTATAGATCGCATAAGACGAAATTCTTCGCCAAGCGGCGAATATTGTGAATGGTGTACGCCATTTTGGAGATCGCGTAAAATTTCATTGTTAATTAAAAGTTCGAACCGAAAGCCGTATAACCGCAGCGTTCGCTTCGTAACCGAGGATTTGCGACGAATACATTGTCGTACGTACTCTATATATTCAGTGGGAGGTGCCCTTTCGCACAGGACAAATAGTAAGGGGCGGTTTTTAAGCAACAAGGGTAACGAAAACTAATGGACGGCTGATTTTCAACCGTGAACATTGCGGAGCGTTATCTTATTAACAAGTAAGGAGACATTTTCGTTTCGGTAGATTATTGGTTTGTGGCGCTCGTATTTAAATCGTTACCACGAAAGCGTTTGGATCTAAGGTGCAAACAAATTGCATTGAGTTATTATTTGGAGTGACTAGTTACGTTGGAAAACCAGGTTATTAAACAAAGTTGTGTATCTAATTTGTTTATACGAGATGTTCACAACATTATAAATAAAACGGCAACTGGTAAAAGGGTGAAAGACAATTAATTCGTGCTTTTGTTGAGTGTCATAACCCTAAGATAAAGGGGTAATTTTGGACCCATCCATCCATACTACGGTAATTTTTCTCATAAATAAACCCAACTGTGTTGCAGCAAACCTCGTCTGATTAAATTGTGTCTGCTGTCAAATGAAGCGCACTTAATCGGCATAAATTTTAGGGCAGAGGATCTAATATTATTTATTTTATTATTATTATTTTACTGCGATTCGAGGTTTTGCGCCTTCGTTGTGTGTGTTGTTTTAACGTTTTAACTTTTTAGCGCATTTTTTAAAAATTAAAAAAAATGTGCCATTGTTTGCGTTTTGTCCGTCCGTCTGTCCGGACCCACTTCTATCGTTTTTAACTACTTCTAGGGGAATGGTCCTAGAGTCCTGGAATTTTTTGCAGTAGGTAGCATATAGCTTGAAGGTGTGCCAGACGGCCATCAAATTTCTCTGTCTAAAAGGCCCCCCCTCCCTCACGAATTATTTCCTGAGATGCTGTTTTTGAAAGTAAAACGTGCTTAACTTTTACATACGACCACCAATTGGTCTCAGATTTTGCATACGCATGCCTTTAGTGGGAGGGGGGGGGGAGGTGTAAACACATGCTCTACCCTTCATGGTATTTTAATGAAAGGTCTCATCGAAATAAATTGGTTTGTACAATCTATAACTTTCCCGTGCGACTCTTTTTCGAGATCAGTGAGCGAGGGGGCCTGAGGGGGGGGGGGGGGGGGGAGTAAAAATTAATTTGATCTCTCATTGTATTCTAATTCAAGGTCTCAATGAAAGGAACCGTTTTCTACCAACTACTGCCCTTCTTTTTGTGCTCTTATCAAAGTACGGGTAGGAGGGGGAGGGGGGTGGAACTAGTTTTATTCTTCATGGTACTCTAATGAAGGATCTCAGCGAAATCAATTTCTACCAACCATAGCCCTGTTCCTCGACCTCTTATCGTGATCAGGTATATTACCGTATACCTGAAGAACGGATTGTCGGAAGAGAGTACTCACAAAGGGCGATTGAGACGTCTGCAAGAAATATATCCATTGGCGATGTCAAAACAAAAGCTATTTCGGTTTTAAAAAATGCGCTTTATCTGCACAAGAGTTCTGCACAATTTATACTTGTTTTTTATATTGACGTATGGCGTTTTGTTTCGTTAAAGTTTTAAGTTTTGACGATTTTAGATTTTGGTATTTATTGGTTTGACGTTTATGACATTTGAAAAGTGGTTATATAAAATTTTGAGGTTATAGAAGCGTTAGGGATTCTAGGTAAAAATAATTCCTGCATTTTGGGCGCTATTTTTAAGAAAGCTCCGAAGTCTAAAATCCCATTACCATTTTGTGCCTTCAAGTTTGGAAATAAAAATGTATCTCGCCTTGTACCACCTTCAGAAATGAAAACTCCCCAAGCACTGAAACTTTAAGTTCTGAAGCCCCAAACTAACGTTTTAATGTTTTCGGGTGCCATTTTGTGCCCTCCTGACGTTACTAAAGCCGTTTGACACCTTGTGCCTTTGATGTTTTGAACTGTTGTTTTTAATAGTTTTTAGTCCTTTGAGATGCCCGATTTCAAAATTTCAAACGAAAAGTACCGTTGGCGTATATGGAGACACATTAACCTTTAAATACAATTCTGTCATTTTACAACAGTGGCACAATTTTTATATCAGCAATTTTTAAACAGTGTTAGTCTGTATATGAAGGAAATAGGCTCTTGATTTAGGTTTGCTGATTTTGCATTTTGTTAAGTCCATACAGGTTCATGGTATTAGCATCACTTTGATCTCTGCATTTAGTCAGGGCAGTTTTAATTTCCTATAATCGCGTACCTTAGTTTGGGCTACATATAGAAACAGGTAATTCGATCTTTAAACTCTTTTAGTGTACGAATCTGCCATTTTTGAGTGTTATTAAGTGCCATTGCAGAGGTCCATGCCGAAGTTTTAAATTAGTTAGCGGCATTCATCTCGAAATACAACTTTAGTTTAAGGTTACCGTATCCAGGACCTTAGATACCGTCTGGACTGGAGAACGTCCGGCCTATTAATAATGTATTTGTTGTACCTCATGTAAGAGACTTCAGAATAATATTTTTCTCAAATGAGAAAGGAGTGGAGTGACTTTGTCTTATCAAGTTTTTGTATTAAAATAACGTCGGATTTAAATTATTCAAATGAATTTTGGGATATTGTAGATGTCGATTTGGGTAGGTAAGTCACACCTGGAATTTAAAATTTTGAAATCTCGAAGAATTCGCTTGTCTTGTAACTGTTACGAAATTATCAATTAATTAAAAAATCCCTTACATACCGATTCGTATTAATTTATCCCGGGTGTTCCTCAATGAGATCTAAATTCAATGAATATGCATCGGGAAATTTTAATCGCTCCAATGTACAGTGATTTATCAGGACTGTTTTTTTTTTGCGAAAAGGGTCATTGCGATGTCAATACCACTAGATTTTCCCTACGTCGGCAGGCGTTTTGGAAAGTCACGTTCATTTCTGGAATATCCCCAAACGTCCTCGGATAAAGAACGACGACAATATAATGGTTGACAAAGTTTCAAAATCGGTCCGAAATTGCAGAAATGTTCGGAAAAGGGTCGGCGTCATTTAGTCGCCATTGTACGTAGAGTGCATTTTGCGATAATTATAAATCCCTGAAGCTTTGTTTATTCCTTAAATGAACAAAGCCTGTTATCAACTAGTCTAATTTGATATCAACATTTCAAAAATACACAATTACGCCACGGGTTTTTATGTTGGGCCTTTCCGTTCAATTCAACCCTATATTGGACTAATGCAAAATAATTAATTAAGTTCGCTTTTTGCGCCCATAACATTTATATTTACTTCCCAGTTATGTTACGCCATATCACAATGAACCAATTAACGACAGAGACAACGTAAATAATCGTACATATTTGCGTTGGATTGTTTAAACTTTAACCTTATTTTATCAGTGATTTAGTGTCTACCCAACCGTAGCGATGGCCTTTTCCATTTTACAGATCAAAAGCGATAATGTTTGTTTAAATGTTGCTAACGCCTGATCGCAACATTAGTGAGTGTTTTGTGTTTGTCGATTGATCTATAAACAATTGCAAACTGTTAAAATGAGGATATTAAGTGTAAGTCTACATATTTGAATTATTGATATTTGGCATTTAAAATTGAATTATGATATGCATTGGTGATCTTAATATAGTTGTGAATCTGTAATGATCGAAAAGTGGAAGAAAATTCTCATGCTCATTGAAATTTTCGCCAATTCGCAAAAAACTGGGATATGCATGTGCTGTAATCACGCCATCACTATCGGTTGCTGTTTAGGAATTGCAGATAATCACTATAGCAATATATTATTTCGTTCGTTTTAGAAAAGTGGTAGTTAACAATAGTAAACAACAAATAAATTACAATCAACAGTCAATAGAACGCAATTGTAACGTATTTATTTATACAAAATTAGTTATTCATTTTTTTAAGATCTAACACTATTAACGATAAATTAAATAAAAACGTCGCTTAGATTTATTGATTTATAGCAGTTCAATTGATATTTATCACCTAATTGCAATCACTTACGCGGATTTCATTTACAAAATTTATCATTTCAGCATCGATGTTGAAACTCGGACACAATTCAATTTATTTATGTATTTTATTGTTTATGACTTTACTACTTAGATCCACACGTCTTTTTTTGTGTTTGAAAGTCACCAAAACAACCTTCGTGCGCTCGGGTCAACGCGAATTCATACCGTAACAATTCTTTCCTAAAATCCAAAGTCGCCCTGCGGTAATTTATAGGGCGACTGATTTTACTGATCGCGGCTCGACGCAAATTGCGCCGCGACTTAATCTGAATCATTCACAAATTTTAAAGCCACCTTACGAAAAGTTACTGGTGGTTTTTTTAACCCTGTGGTGACTAAACGCACATTATCCCACGGTTCTCCAGCAACAACCTCATTCGTACTGTTTCTATTTTCTAATTCACACTCATTCTGTGACGAACATCCTTCTCTACCAATAAAACTCATTTTTAACTCTTCTTCTAGTTTTCTTGAAATCTTAAAATCCCCTTGAAATATCACCTCCAGAACTCTTCTTGAAACCTTGAAATGTTCTTGAAATCTTGAAATACTGATATCTCGAAATTTTCTTGAAATTCTCTTGTTACCTTCTTGAAATCTTCTTAAATTCTTCTTGTAGTCTTCTCAAAACTCTGTCTGGAAATCTAAAAATTTCTTTCAACTTTTCTAGAAATCTTTTTGAAATCTCGAAATTTTTGCGAAATCTTCTCAAAATGCCTCGGAACTTTTTAGAATTACTTAAAATTTTCTTGAAACTTTCTTGAAATACCGAAATTTCGAAATCTTCTTTACATCGGTTTCGATATCTTCTTGAAATTCGCTTGTAGCCTTGCAAGTTACTTGAAATTTTCTTGTCAGTTCCTTATTTTTTCAAATCTTAAAATCCACATGAAATCTTTTTGAAATCTTGAAATTTCTCATTTGTTTGAAATCCTGAAATTCTCTTATAATTTTTTGTAATCTTCTGGAAATCTTCTTGAATCCTTTAGAAATCTTTTTAAAGCTTTCTTGAAATATTTTTGAATTAGCGAAATTTTTTCCTGGAAACCTTGAATTCTTCTAATCATTTTGTAATTTTCTTGTAGTATCCTTGAAATCTTCTTAAAATCCCCTTGAGAAATCTTTTTGAAATTTACTCTGAAATGTTCTTGAAATCTTGAAATACTTAAAATCCCCTAGAAATATCTCCCCCAGCAATCTTTTTGAACTTTTCTTGAAATCTTGAAATACTGATATCCCAAAATGTTCTTAAAATTTTCGTTACCTTCTTGAAATCTTCTTGAATTCTTCTTGCAATCTTCTCAAAACTCTGCTAGAAATCTTGAATTGAAATTTTAAAATATCTTCAACTTTTCAAAAAATCTTCTTGAAATCTCGAGATTTTTGCGAAACCTTCTCGAAATGCCTCGAAACTTTTTACATTTATTAATTTGTTTGAAACTTCTTGAAATACTGCAAGTTTTGAATTATCGAAATTTTTTTTCTAGAAAATTCTTCCTGAAATACTCTTGTAATCATTTTGTAATTTTCTTCTAATCTTCTTGAAATATTCTTAAAATCCCCTTGAGAAATATTTTTGAAATGTTCTTTGAAATCTTGAAATGCTGATATCTCAAAATTTACTTGAAATTCTCTTGTTACCTTGTTGAAATCTTGAATTCTCTTCTCAAAAGTCTGCTTGAAATCTAGAAATCCCCTTGAAATTTTTTTGACACTGTTTTGGAATCCTCTAATTTGTTTCAAATCTCGAAATCTTTTTGAAATCTTGAAATTTTCTCGAAATTTTTTGAAATCTTTAAATTTTCTTATAATTTTTTGTAATCTTGTAATCTTCTGGAAATCTTCTTAAAATCTGCTTGAATTCTTTAGAAATTTTTTTGAAGTTTTCTTGAAATATTTTTGAATTATCGAATTTTTTTTCTGTAAACCTTGAATTCTTCCTGAAATACTCTTGTAATCATTTTGTAATTTTCTTCTAGTCTTCTAGAAATCTTCTTCTTGAAATATCTCCTCCAGAAATCTTTTTGAAATTTTGAAATGTGCTTGAAATCTTGAAATACTGATATCTCGAAATTTTCTTGGAATTCTCTTGCTACCTTCTTGAAATCTTGTAATCTTCTCAAAACTCTGTTTGAAATCTTGAATTTAAATTTTCTTGAAATCGTCTGGATATTTTAAAATTTCTCTAGAAATCTTTTTGAAATTTCGAGATTTTTGCGAAATCTCCAAATGCTTTGAAACTTTTCTGAAATTTCGAAATTTCCTTTAAATCGGTTTCTATACCTTCTTTAAATTCGCTTGTAGCCTTGTAAGTTTCTTGAAATCTTGAAATGTCCTTGTCAGTTCCCTTTTTTTCTAATCTTAAAATCTCCACGAAATTTTTGGACACTGTTTTGGAATCCTCTAATTTGTTTGAAATCTCGAAATCTTTTTGAAATCTTGAAATTTTTTTTTTGAAATGTTGAAATTCTCTTACAATTTTTTGTTATCTTGTAATCTTCTGGAAATCTTCTGAAAATCTGCTTGAATCGAGGCTTAGAAAGCTTTTTGAAGTTTTCTTGAAATGTTTGAATTATCAAAATTTTTTTCTGGAAACCTTGAATTCTTCCTGAAATACTCTTGTAATCATTTTGTAATTTTCTTCTAGTCTTCTTGAAACTAGTCTTGAAATCTTCTTAAGGTCCCCTTGAGAAATCTTTTTGAAATGTTCTTGAAATCTTGAAATACTGATGATATCTCGAAATGTTTTTGAAATTCTCTCGTTACCTTCGTGAAATCTTCCTGAATTCTTCTTGTAGTCTTCTCAAAACTCTGTTAAAAAACTTGCATTAAATTTTTTTTGAAATCTGGAAATCTTAAAATTTCTTCAACTTTTCAAGAAATCTATTTGAAATCTCGAAATTTTTGCGAAATCTTCTCGAGATGCCTCGAAACTTTTTAGAATTTTTAAATTTTCTTGAAATACTGAAATTTCGAAATTTTCTTTAAATTGGTTTCGATATTCGAAATTTTCCAGCTCCCTATTTTTTCAAATCCCCATGAAATCTTATTGACACTGTTTTGGAATCTTCTAATTTGTTTGAAATCTCGAAATCTTCTTGAAATATTGAAATTTTCCCGAAATTTTTTTGAAATCTCGAAATCTTGAAATTTTTTCGAAATTTTATTGTTATCCTTTTGAAATTTTACCTATTGCAACATTGACATTTTTTTAAATCTTTTCGAAAACTTATTGAAATCTTCTAATCTTCATGAATTCATTTTAAAACTATCTGAATTCTTTATAAGACACCTGGAATCACTTGAAAACTCTTTTTTCTACAATCGATATCCAAAGTAGGCATTTGCGCTCGTATTTGACAACGCAAACGTCATCTTTTTCGAGGAATGTCACTTTGTCGCTTATAAGCGACAAAATAGAAAAAACGCTCGCTCTCCCAATTGTTAACTATAAATCAAATATGCATTGCTCAGAGTATCCAATGACAACGAGTAAATGACATCTTTCATTTCGGCATAAGATTAAAATGATGTGAGTGAAAAATTTAAATTTGTGGAAATATGTGAACTGATCGATTGTAGAAAAAATCTTGTGTATAATTCGAGCGCAAATTGATTGTCGATTTCAAGAGATTGCCGCGCTCCTTCGTCGCGCGTCAACTGTCTCTTTCAATCGACAATAATAATATCATTTTGCGCTCTTAATACACAAATAGCTATATAAATGTTTTATAGACTCGGTACAAATCGCATGTTTCTTCGACTTGCTCGCTATTGGTGAAACCGTAGGTTTGCTCCGCACGTTTTGCTTGATTTATGCCGAACTCAATGTCGACTCGCTCGAAATTGCTAAGCTAAGCTAAGTAAAGCTCATTGTAAGTGCTTCAAATGTTGAGGGGGCGTTACGCAGACCAAAAGGCATCACTGTAAATTGCCATAAACCCGATTTTATACTAAAGGCTTTAGGCTATACATAATCCTTGCGATGTTTAGGATCTAAACCAACTCGACAGTAGCGGATTTTCATATCTAAATTCTATGGCGAATTTGTAGCACCTATTTGTCGTAGAGTTCTTGTTCCCGATACGTCCACAATTGCTTTCACTACCCTACCCTCATGCACATATACGAATAACAAAAACTTGAAACCAAATAATTATAACAAAAGATTTCTTTCAGACCGCAGCCCCAATCGCGCTAATCGATCCGTCCGAGTTGCTCCGACCGGAGCCGTCGTTCGCAGACAAGTCCCTATCAAAATTTCGAGATTATTCTATTAATGAAGATGATCCGATTAAGGAGAGGGTGCGAAAAACGTACGAGGAGATGCACACCTTTCAAACCGTTGAATTTGTGAAAAGTAAGTACGCTCCAAAGGGTATTTTGTCAGACGGCTCAGTGGTCTAGGGGTATGATTCTCGCTTTGGGTGCGAGAGGTCCCGGGTTCAAATCCCGGCTGAGCCCCACTTTTTTTTTCTTGACATATGGTTATTTAAATTCTGTTTAATCAATTTGAGACCTTGTCATTAAATGAACCAATTTTTAATTCATTTCAAACGAAAGATTGCTTCGGATTTAGAAAATATGCATGCATATCCGATCCGCACTTAAATATGCACTTGTAAATTATTCTAAAAATACCCAAAAGTTAATTACTTATCTCATTTACATTTAAGTTTAAATAGATTTACAAAGAAATTAAACCTTTTACAGCAAACGACAAATGTACCGTGTGTCCTATTTTGGTTGAGACCGAAGTGGATCTCAGCTGTTTTTAAAGATAGAGACTTCCGGTTTTCGCTACCCTGTGCCACTTTTTTGTGAACTTTTAATACCACAAACAGAATCAAACTAGCTACGTTTGTTTCTGAGATTCAAGGTCAAAACGAAAAGTTTGACTTTTAGTGATGTTGCCATATCTTACTACCCACATTAGATAGAAAACAGGTAAAACCTGCTTATTTTAGATATTTTTACCTAAAATTCAGTGGCGTGCTCAAAAAAAATTTTAACCACTTTTTCTGAGATTTGACCCAATGACACCCTGTATATGTTAATGTAAATGTGTTGCATTCTTTTTCCTGATTACAGTGATGTATCGCAACCTATATATTTTTTTAATTTTGGCCATGAAATAAAAACCTTATTTTTTACGGTTTTTAAATAGTAGGCCATGGATTTTTGGAGATTTTGTTTTGTTTATTGCAGCCGATTAAATTGAATTAAATTAAATGCTAGAGCAAAATCTTAATTTATTTACAAATTTCGTGCGAAAAACGGCAGGAAACTTTGATTTCATGGGAAGGAACTAAATTGTATCCCAGTTCTTGATTACATTAAGTGGTAGATTGCTACACATTCAAAGAAACTCCTAAAGGCTCTTATTGGCTCCTGAAGACTTCTGGGAAATCCTAAAAACTCCTAAAGGTTTGTAAGAAAAACTACAAAGTAGCTCTTTAAAGAATCCAAACCTCATAAGACACATAACAACCCTTAAAGGGTTTGAAACCCACCTAAAAGTTCTTAAAAGTTTATGAAGATTTCTAATTATTCCCAACGACTCCTAAAGGTCAAAGGATGCTGAAGACCAAAGAGCCCAAAAACTCCTAATATCTCCTGAACGCTCCTAACAACATTTCCGAAAACTCCTAACAAAGACTCCAGACATTGTCAAGGCTACTAATGATTTCCAACGACTCCTAAATATTCCTAAAGGCTGTTATTCTGTTGGGCTAAAGTTTTGGAACAAAGATTCTAAAATTGTCAAAACTCCCAATGGATTTATAGATTTCGAAAGCCCCCAAAGGTTCGTAATACTCCTAAAAGCGCTTAAAGATGTTGAGGGAATCCTAAAGTTGCTACAGATCTCTGAATGCACCTAAAAACTTCCAAATATCCTTAAAGACTCGAAAAGATATAGCCCTAAAGACTTCTTGCAGGCTACTGAAGGTTCCTAGAGGCTCTCCTACAGTCGTCGCGAATGCGCCCAACGAAGATTCCTAGTGTAGTGATTCCTAGAAACTTCCAAGTTTTTGAGACTATTACCGGCGGTTCTATTTTGTGTTGGGGCGTGAGACTTAATGTGGAAGGGAATTGAATAAAATACAGAATTTGTGCGTAAAAAAAGACAAGAACAAATTAATTGTATTACACACACAACAAGGAGATACCAGGAAAACCTTTTAAGGACAAAAAACCTGGCATAACTTACACAAATACAAAAAAAATAAATGCAAAATGAGGGAAATATACAAATCGTGCAATAAAAATCAGGTATCGGGTCAAATGCTGTACCTACATCAACAAGAATGAAACACAAGGGACGTCATAAATACAAATAGAAAACACGATCAATTCAGTATAAAAACACAACAAATAAATCTAGGATCAATTTAAGCACAAGAACTCATAGAATGATACATGGCGTGTATAAAAAAGAATACATCAAAAGCATAGCCGAGGAAGTAGAGGACCCCCTTCTCGTTTATGCTAAGACTCAAGATCTGCGGTCTGCACGAAAAAGAAAGCAACAGATACGGCGAAGAATCGGACTGTATTAGGTACAAAGAACCATCAAATTAGAGGACCCCCCTTCTCGTATATGCTAAGACACAAGAGCTGCAGTCTGCAAAAGATGGTGGAAGCAGCTGAGAATCGAACTGCATGCGGTACTCTTTTCAGGGAATAGTACGGCAACAGTGCACTAATAATAAACTTGTATCGTGAATACATAAATAAATAAATACATAAATATATAAATACATAAATAAACAAATAAGTCATAAGTGCTTATAAAGATCCTTAAAGGCCTTAAAGATAAGGTTTATAACAAAGACTGTAAAGACTCTTAAGGCTACGCAATACTTCCAAAAAAACTAAAGATTACAAAAAAAACTACTAAAGGCTCGAAAGATTTCTAAAGAGTTTTAAAAGGATCACTAATGCAGATTGCGGACTCGTAGTGATTGCTGTATTTTAACCGACTTTATGGTTCAGTGGTAGAGCGTTGGACTATAAATCCGGAGGTCGGGTGTTCGAACTTGGGTTGAGGTGAATTTTTCATCTGTGGCAGAGATGGAAATTACCTTAGACCAGTTTTTAGCATTCTGCCGGCTACTCCGAATTAGGTTTTCCTGCAGTTTTCCTAATTCGTAAGGTAAATACCGGAGTAGTATAGAACAACTTAAGACCTTCTGCGAAGGCACCTCTAAAAAGCATTACGCGGGTCACTCTGTAATTGGGCGCAAGTCTGTTGAGGGCCCAGAACATGAGAGGGGTAATAAAAAAATAAATTAAGAGAGTCATAGTTACTCCTCGTCGAATCTTTCCGCTCCGGTCGGTAACTGCACTCCTAATGGTCCTACACCAAAGGATGGACCGGGGTAACCGTCCTCCGGGACTTAGTCCCCTTGTTGATAATCAGCTCCCCTTATCCCCTTGAAACGTCGTGCGTCCAGCCCGATTACTCGAAGTTCTCCTCCTAAAGCAAAGCTCACTACACAACACCACTACACAACATCCACCATATAGAGAGGGTCGCGGAGTAAGAAATCCTAAAAAAACCTAAAGGATTCTAAGAAAAACTACGAAGTGGTTCTTAATAAATACTTTTCAAAAATCCAAAGTTTTCTATCTAAAGGCTTCGAAACCCCCCTAAAAATTCCTAAAGGTTCATGACGCCCAATTCTTCCCTGCGATTCCTAAAGGTCTCAAAAGCTCGTGAAGTCCAAATCGAGACATGAAGGCATTAAAGACTCCTGAACCCCCCTAACAAAGATTTAAAAAACTATCAAAGCTCTTAACGCTTCAGAAAGTCTTTTAAGACAAGTAAAGGCTGCTAAGGCCCCCAATCTAGACTCCAAGATCTCCTAATGACTCTTTTATGAGTTTTAAAGACTCCTAAAGGTTACAATTTTAAAAATTTTCAAGAACTCTCAAAAACTCCAAAAATTTCACATCTGTAAAGGCTTTAAATTACACTTAAAGGCTCATAAAGATTCTTAAGGATGTGTCAAGACCTTTCGCAATGACCTAGAGACTTCCAAGATTTAGAGCCCATTAACGACCCATAAAAACGCTCCAAAATACACCTAGAGGCTGCTAAAGACTACTAAAGACCCATACGAGGACCCCTAGTCCTTTATTTTTAAATACTCCTAAAAGGCTTCTAAAGGACTTTAGAGGATCTTGAAAACCCTAAAAGCTCTTAAAGATTTCTACCAAGAAGTAGTGAAAAAGGTCTCCTAATGTACCCAGAGCTAATGATTTCTAGAGAATCAATCCTAAGGTCTCTAACAAAGGCTCCAAATACTCTTACCGCCTCCTAAAGACTTGCAAAGGTCCTGGAGATGACTCCTAACCTAAATTCCTACTGACTAGGTGACTATATATCTCTAAAGGCCCCGATCCAAATACGCGAAAGCTCTAAATACTTCTAGCAACTGCCAAAAGTCCATAAAACCCCCTAAAGCTTTCCAAGCACTTCTAAAGACTAGCAAGGATTCCAAAGATTACGAAGCACCCAAGAGTCCTAATAATATCGTATATTAAGTACACGGTTTGTTATTCGAAACGGAAAATTGGTCGCGTGATACCATAAGACAATGAAGAGTGGGTGGGAATTTGCGTCAGTAACAAGTGACCTTCTTTTATGGTGCAAGATCTCCCACAATTTCCTAAAAGTTATTATTTCGTGGAAACTAATTTCAGAACCTTTTTTTATTTACTTGAACGCTTTTGCTTTTATTGTTTGTAAAATTTGAAATGAATAATTTGTCATTTTTTAAGAGTAGCGGTGCCCTTTTGGCTTGCCTTATGGTATCTCCTAAAGTATTCACGCGATTTTGAAAAATTTCGAGAAATTGGAATTATGCTAAATAAAATTCCGAATGCCCTTTTGGCATCCTAACGGTATCTTCAACAAGGTGACTCCTTAACAGGGAAATCCAGCTGACCTTTTTTCTCGTAAAAATCCCAGGATACGATCTTGTACCAAAATCCAAGGCCATTACCAAGGCCACGATCTTGGAATGTGTAAATCAAATTTAAAATGGACGCTTTTGCAGATCAACACAAAAAATGGCGGCGCTTCGACCACTTCAAAGCGCCGATACGAGACGCCTTGGAAAAATTAAACGATCTCGTCGACGAAAGCGACCCCGACGTCGACGTACCGAACATTGTTCACGCATTTCAAACGGCGGAACGTATAAGGGAGGATTATCCCGATATGGATTGGTTTCATCTTACCGGCCTTATTCACGACTTGGGAAAGGTGATGGCTTTCTATGACGAACCCCAGTGGGCCGTTGTAGGTGACACCTTCGTCGTCGGTTGCGAGTGGAGCGAAGACATCGTGTACCGTGACCACTCGTTTGCCAAAAACGTAGACGGGAGTAATCCAAAGTACAAGTACGTGCTCCTCCAGTGTCCCTCGTAGACTAACTTCCTTTTTCAGCACCAAATATGGCATATACGAGGCCAACTGCGGTATCGACAACGCGCTCATGTCCTGGGGACACGACGAGTACCTGTACTGGGTGTTGAAGCACAACAACGCCGCTCTACCCCAAGAGGCACTGGCCATGATACGCTACCACAGCTTCTACCCGTGGCATAGCAGTAACAATTACTCGCACCTGGAAAACCAGCACGACAGGGACATGAAGAAATGGGTACAGCTGTTCAAGTAAGTCGGCGCGCGGTCGCCACTTTTAACTATTGAAGATGTTTTTAGCACCTACGACTTATACACGAAGAGTTCCAAGGTACCCGACATCGAGAAATTGTGGCCTTACTACGAAAGCCTGATCGAAAAATATATTCCGGGTATTGTAGAATGGTAGAGGCGCCAGATCGGATTGTAGGTTAAGAGTAGCAATAGGATCTTATAAGTTGTTGAAGATGTTCTTTTGTTTGTTTAATAAAATTGATAAATAAGGCACGTGACAAAGTATGAGGTTTATGTCCGAAGTCAGTGCATATTACACTACCCCCTCGACTACCCCCTTCTTTCTGTTTAGTATGTGTGTGTGTGTGTGTGTGTGATATTCGACTTTACCTTGAATACTGCTCTTTAATTAATAGTAAACGATGCCGGAACACAGGCATGTCCATTTTGATGTTTTTTAAGTACATGCAATTTATCATTTTTTTCAAATCCCTTACCGTTAACTTTTATTGTTTGAAACTGTTATTATTTTTGGTAGAAATGTTCCATTTATCGATATTTTGATTAAGTGAATTTAGCCCGAAGTTTAATTTATATGTTTGCTTATTCGTTTAAACTTGTGGAAATTGTTTGATGTTTATACGGACTTGTATATAAACAAACACCTTTCACAGTGAGACACGGTGATGGGAAATACGTTAACCATATTAGTTACGACATCTAAAGCTGTAATTGATGTCGAATCCCGCACGAGGGGCAATTTACAAGTCTTTGGGGTGGGACCCTGCTAACTAAATAATTTAAATCGATCTAAGATATGAGTTGCCATTCACTAATTTCCGCATGTTTCGTAAAGATTGAGTTTGCTTCCCAAGGTCATGTAATTTTCCATGTTTCTTTAAACAGAAAAGGTTTTATTGCACCAAGTGACTTATTTAAAATACGAATTATACTATCATAGTGTTTTACTTTGCATCCCTTTACTACCGTACTTCTGGCCATAGGGCTGTTTACAACTGACGTAAGAAAGGGGGGGGGGGCTGTCTCAGACTTTCGTTCAGGAGCCATTTCAAATGTAAGCAGAATCCGGTTAGCTTTTGGAACGCATATGGGAAGTTAGCGTAAAACCTGGGTGTATGCCATTTTTCCTCCTTACGCAGGGTCCGACGTAGTAAAAAGGACACATGCGTGTGGGCTTGGGCTCGATAGTAAAATGAAATAAGGTTAAACAGATGCTTTTTTCCGGTTTAGGGTCTGAAGTTGAGTACATTTTAATTAAACGCGTATGCTGATCTTCAGTTACGGATAATTTGCGAATTGGAAACTATTACGATAAATACGAACGCTAGCGGAAGTTAAAATTTTGTGACCTAAAAATGGACTGATTGAATTGCATGTTGTACTTCATCGCACTTCTAAATCGGCTAATCGTGCGCAAATAGTATTTCTATACGACATTCACATTCAACGCCGAATTACGTAGTTTCGAGTAGTGCAAGATTAAACGAGCTATTTATTAGAAGAGACCTAGGAGCTTATATTGGCCTACCATTTAAAAAAAGAGGGGACATAGCCTAGTACGCGACGGAAATGGTATTTGTAAACATCCTGCAATAAGTGTTCCTCCGTTAGATGTCCCCTGTCCCCATCCTTTGAAATTAAATCGCTTGTACGTTCCTGTAACGGACAGCCTTCGTTGAAGACGCCATTTGCATAAATAAAATTAAACCGCTACGGGACTGGCAAATGACAATTAATTTATATTTTACCCTCGGCTAGCTCAGTAATAAAGGTTGAGTTGAATTCAAAATCTAATGCTCTGATTTGATTAAACTCGAATAAATACGCGAGTAAACTTAGTTGATTGAATATATTAATAACAACTAAGAAGATCGCATTCCATTTTTGTTTACACTTCGGTTTGAACCATAAAAGGGAATTTAAACAAGTAAACAAATTGTGCACAACCCTTGTGCAGATAAAGCGCATTTTTTTAAACACCCCTACGAAATTTCTTCCATAAATAAGAAAGTTGGCAATGCGCATGCGCAAAACCAAATTTGGAAAATGGTGTTAAATTTCTTTTATTCCAAGTGGGTAAGTATCAAATTTCATTTAAATGCCTCCATAAATAAGAAAGTTGGCACTGCGCATGCGCAAAACGAAATTTTAAAACGCGTTAAATTTGGATTTATTCCAACTGGCTATGTATCAAATTTTATTTAAATGCCCCAATGGCTAATTTCCTTCCAAACGTCCCAATCCCTTTGTAGTTACTTTCCTTTGACAATTCACTCTAAAGATATAAGGAATTATAACCGATCACGACAAGGGATCGAGGAGGAAGACAATTGGTTAGTATAAATAAATTCCTTTCGTCGAGACCTTTCATTAGAGTACCATGAATGGTAGAACATGTGTTTACCCCCCCCCCCTCTCTAAAGTTTAACTTGGCACCACTAAAGGCATGCGTATGCAAAATCTGAGACCAATTGGTTGTCGTATGCAAAAATTAAGACATTTTACTTTCAAAAACACCATCTCAGGAAATAATTCGTGGGGGGGCTTTTAGACAGCGAAATTTGATGGCCGTCTGGCACACCTTCAAAGTATAGGCCACCTACTGCAAAAAATTCCAGGACTCTAGGACCATTCCCCTAGAAGTAGTTCGAAATGGCAGAAGTGGGTCCGACGGGCGGGCAAAACTCAAACAGAAGCACATTTTTTTTAATTCTTAAAAAACGCTAAAAAAAGGAGAGAATGTAACGGTGGTGGAAAATAGCCTAGAACGCGACGCAAATGTTATTTGTAAACACCCTGTAATAAGTGTTCCTCCGTTAGATGTCTCCTGTCCCCATCCTTTGAAATTAAATCGCTTGTTAGTTCCTGTAACGAACGGCCTTCGTCGAAGACCCCACTTGCATAGATAAAATTAAACCTCTACGGTACTGGCAAATGACAATAAATTTTTATTTTATCCACGGCTAACTCATGGCCAGTTGCACCGTCAAAATTAAGTATCCCTTAAAGTTAAGCATAACTTAAATACCATAGCAACGATTGTCTCAATAATCGTTACCATAGATTTTAAGTTGGACTTAACTTTAAGCAAGGCTTAATTTTGTTGGTGCAACTGGGCATCAGTAATAAAGTTTGAGTTGAATTCAAAATCTAATACTCTGATTTGATTAAACTCGAATAAACACACAAGTAAACTTAGTTGATTGAATGTATTAATCAAAACTAAGGAAATCACATTCCATTTTTCTTTACACTTCGATTTGAACCATAAAAGGGAATTAAAAAGGAATGGCATCAATAGAATTATCTGCAAAATTCCAATCAATGAAAGACATAGCAAAAGTTCTTTGTTTATTCGATTCTTATCTATAAATACAAGTTTCATGCAAATAATTCTCACCGGTCGATTCCTCTAGGAACATTAAAATTACATTAAACAAAATTAAAATAGCAGTTATTGACGTGGGTATTATTCTCCTCCGTGATCTTATCTCTCCATAGAAAATGTCGCTCCCTTTAGAAATATGGCAACGGATCGCTTCGATGGTGCAGTTGGCCCCGTGATGAATGGTAAAGAAAAATGTCTATGCGTATTGCGAATCCGTGCAAACCGCGAAATAAACACTCGAAATCATAATTATACACAGGAATAATACGCCAATGGTAGTACGCGCCTGCTTTTATAACTTCGCAAAGAATTCAATTTCAGCCTACTTACCTGATGGTTCCCGAAAATCAACTTAGAATGAGTTTTCAATAATACAAAAATTTACGCACAAACAGAGTACGTGGCCGCTCGCGAAAACAAGCTTAGAATTCCCGCTTTCCCACCCCTTTCGCTATTTAAATCTCGCCCATTAGACGCTCTGAAACGAGAACTCTTTTCTGTACTAACATACTTATTTAGACAAATAGGAAAGCCGCATTTTCGTTACACAAAACGAATGAAATCGGAATACGTTTTTTGTTATCGCCAGACGTACTTTCGTTCACGTAGACTATGAAGCGGTACATGGGTAAAATTTCCTAGCGACCCCCTCTTACATTTCCCACTTGTGTGTGTGCCTCCTTGTCCCTATAAAAGCGTCACGGCGAACACCCGAGACACCGTGTGCACGCAAAGACGGGCGAAAGGGAAGGAATAAATTAGAGGTTATGTTTCGTATTGAAGCATCATCACGGGTTGCGGCGACAAAGTGCCATTGTAGATGTCTTTATAGTAACATAAAAACACATTTATTTTTAATACTGACCCAGTAGTAGTTGATAATTACAATGTACCTATACAACAAACGCTTTTAGCGACACAAGAACAAAATATCTACTTAAAATTAATTTGTTTTCCTCAAATTTGTTGGGATGATCATCAATCATCGGTTTATCTCGACATTATATTAACATTTCAAGAAACAATACGGTTCTTTGGTATCTTAATCTTTCTTATCGTTGTGTGTTGCGAAATGTTTCTTTAATCTGCTCTTAAAGTTTGTGGCATAATCACAAAGACCACATTTAAAATCTTTCGAGACCTTGTGTGTCAGGAGATGTCGTTTCAAGGAAGGTTTACGGTTGGTGGCATACTCGCAAAAGTCACATTTCAAACTTTTGGAACCTTGGTGTTTTACGAAATGTATTCTGAGATCGCTTTTAAAGTTTGTGGCGTAATCACAATGAGCACATTTATAATCTTTGGAAACTTTATATTTTTTGAGATGTTTTTTTAACTCGTTTTTATGGATTGTGGCATAATCACAATTTGGGCATTTAAAATCTTGCGAGACCTTGTGCGTTAAGAGATGTCGTTTCAAGGAAGTTTTAAGGTAACTGGCGTAATCGCAATTTGCACATTTAAAATTTTTGGAACCTTTGTGTTTTACGAGATGTTGTCTAAGATCGCTTTTAAAGTTTGTGGCATAATCACAATGGGCACATTTAAAATCTTTCTTTGTTAAAAAATGTTGTCCCCAATGGCTTTGATAGCTTATGCCATTGTCCACTCTATGTTTTGCGAGGTGCTTTTTAAAAACGCTTATATAGTGCGTGGCAAAATCACAATTTGTACATTTAAAATCTTTAGACACATTATGGATTAAAAGATGTCGTTTCAAAGAGCCTTTAAAATTTGCGGCATAATCACAAAAGTCACATTTAAAATCTTTAGAAACTTGATGTGTTAAAATATGTTGTTTCAGATTATATTTAAAATTGGTGGCATAACCACAAATGCCACATTTGAAACTTTTAGAACCGACGTGTTTTAGAAGATGTAGTTTAAGACCGTTTTTATAGTTTGTCACATAATCACAACTTTCACACTTAAACACTTTCGAGGCGTTGTGTGTTAAGAGATGTCGTTTCAAGGAACGTTTAAAGTAAGTGGCATAATGGCAAATGTCACATTTAAAATCTTTAGAATCTTTGTGTTTTAAGAGGTGTAGATTAAGATCACTTTTAAAGTTTGTGGCATAATCACAATTTGTACATTTAAAATCTTTCAGGACGTTGTGGGTTTGAAGATGTCTTTTTAGAGAGCGTTCACAATTTGAAGCGTAATAACAATGGTCACATTTAAAATCTTTAGAAACTTGATGTATTAAAAGATGTCGTTTCAGGGAGTTTTTATAATGTGCGGCATAATCACACTTATCACATTTAAAATCCTTATTCTTATGCGTTAAAAGATGTCGTGTAAAATTTAATTTCGTACGTGCTAGGTAAGGACAAAGGTTACATTTCAACTGTACCGTTTGAGAGGTAAGCTTTGACAAATACACTTCTTCTCCATTGTGCTCGTCGTAAAAATGGTCCGCAGCATTTTCATTGTCTTCTTCTTTTTTTACAATTGCCAAAACATCATTGCTTACTATAATTTTAGTTTGGAAGGATACACTTATTTCTTCTTCTTGTTTGGGTTCAATTTTAACAAGCGGCTTGTCCTCATCCATGCCTATAACAATTTTTAAATTATAAGCTCAAACTTGGTAGCTACTTACCTTAATTAACTGCAACAGAAAGGTATTCCACTCGATATGAAAAGAATACCTAAGTTACTAATGAGAGAACAACTGAATTTTCGATTTTAGGGTTGGTAGTTTTAAGCAATGTTGCCAAGACTGGTTTAAATTCTTAGAAAAAGAAAAACCAAGTTTAATAATGGTCGGAAATGTTTTTACGGTTTAAGGTTAGTTTATTACAACTTGTTTGCCTGCAGGTGATTAACACATCATTATTTATTACTGTTTTTATTAATAATTTTGTACTGATCTTAACCCAACCCCAGGGCATCGATTCCCGAAGTTAGTCGATATGTCCGTGATGTGCATGTGATGTGACCATGACGTCATGATCGTATACGATAGGGATAAGTTCAAGTTTAGCTGCATTCCCGAATCGTGGACAAACTTTATGCGCTAACCAATCACAGACAAGAATTGAACTGTCATTTGTCAGTTTTGTATTTTGTTTTGTTTTTGCATTATGGATACTGCTATTAATAACCAGAAAATCCTCGAACAATTCCATGTTTTATTTCACAGAAAATATGTGAATATATAGGTTATGGCACTGAATAACCTCTAGCAAAACAGCTGCAAGATCCGTCCTGTAGCTGCAACTGCTCATGACTTTCACGCAACGAGTGGTCTAGACCAGTCGTTGCGTTCGATCAACTTATCGCTCGATGTGATAGGTTCGAGAATGCATTCACGTTCACATCAAGGTCAGCCGATGTGAACAAAGCACATCTTCGGGAATCGACGCCCAGGCTCGAAGTGAAGATGACAGTTTTCACGGCAAAGTGGCAACGTTGCAATCCCAGTATCAAAACACTGTTCCCGCTCAAATTTCGAACAAAAGAATGGCACGTGATTGGATCGTCTAAGGTAGGGCCTCCTTACGTTACACGAAGCTAATACAATGACTCGGGACCCAGTCGGGCAGGAACACTCAAATAAAACGGTGTAATGTCTGCGAGTTTATTTATTATACACTTACTCTGAAAACCCGGGAATTTGGATGTGGTACATTAAAAGCAAAGCAATCAAAACGTAAAGGTGCCGCACTATCGCAAAACAGACTACCAACTACCAAGGAGAACAAGAACGCGACTTGAGAAAACACCTTGGCCTTGAATAAAACCCAAACTGTATTTTGAGTTGTATTCATAGAGTTTAGCTTTATTTTTGGTGTTTGTGCATAGAATTCAACCACTGTGGTGTCGGGTAAAGTATTTTATGTAGTTTACTCTTATGGACTTATATGAATTGTGCCATTTGTTAAATCAGATATTTTCCAACTACCATTGTGCTAATATGTAATTTACAACATGCGAGGTGTTAACTAATATCCATGTGCTTGTGGAAGTCTACGATATCTCAGGTTTAGACCACGTTTAACTCAGTTACACGGTGCACGGGGTGTACCTATGTAGAACCTCGACTTCCGTGAAGTAGGGCATGCAATGCTAGGTGTATTTAGTTTAGGGTGACTCGTAACATTCGCGAATGCGTGTGCCTTGTTGTATGTAACTCATATCTTTCTACCGTGAGAGGGAGCTCGGACGCTAGAATAGAAAGGTATTCTAGAGCTAAGGCACAAAAGGATCCGAGGGCCTTCGAACCTCCAACTTTAGGGACGAAGGCCTGTAACCAAGGCCGTCCTACCCATGGGCAGCGACCCATCTCTTAACCATCTTCAGTTTTGTGTCGTTACGTGACCGATGTCAGGGGAGTGTTACGAAGCACAGCTAGTAGTTCCGGAAGTCTGGGGTTTATACTAATGTCATTATGTGGAAACTGAGCATAATTGAGAGCTCCACGAGCACACTGAGTATTGTCATAACTGCCTATTGTTACGTCACAACATGAATAATAGATTAGACATGTTTTTACAAACTTCACACCACTCCATTCGATAAACAATGATATGAATAACTAGTAAGGTGACTTATATCAATAAATGCGTGAATGTGTTGCCCCCAACAATCTTAACTGCGCTACGGGTTAATAGGCAAATATGCCAGCCCAATCCCTAACAATACAACCGTGAAACAGGAGGGCAATCAAGCGAAGACGCTGGCCCAAACCTAACGAACAACCAGGTTCACCACCCAATGACTAACTAAAAAGTGAGTTGCCTTCTAGCCGCGATTAAAGGAAAGTACATGACATGTTGTGACGAATACTCTACGCATACTGTTCAAACGTACCCTGCTACTTGAATTCATTAATAATTAATTAAGGTAGTGTCACATGTCCTGCTTAGGTGGTTGGTGTTTTAATTTCCTGTGATTAGCATAGTTTGGGTTTTATTCAAGGCCAAGGTTTTTCTCGAGTCGCGCTCTTTTTCTCCTTGGTAGTCTGCTTTTGGCGAGAGTGCGGCACCTTTAGGTTTTGCTTGCTTTGCTTTTAATGTACCACATCCAAATTCCCGGGTTTTCAGAATAAGTTTATAATAAATAAACTCGCAGACATTACACCGTTTTATTTGAGTGTTCCTGCCCGACTGGGTCCTGAGTCATTGTATTAGCTTCGTGTAACGTAAGGGGGTCCTATCTTAGACGATCAGATCACGTGCCATTCTTTTTGAATTTTGAGCGGGAACCGGTGGATTGATACTGGGATTGCAACGTTGCCACTTTGCCGTGAAATCTGTCATCTTCACTTCGATCCTGGGGTGGGTTAAGATCAGTACAACTAAAGTCACTAGATATAGAAAGTACCGAAATCATCCGCCATTTTTGGACAAATTTGCTGCCAACTTAAAAAAATTGACAAATAAAATCTGAATAGCTGTAATTTTTTATAACCTAACTTCATAGTACTGTAATGTTTTATAAAAATATATACAGATATCTCCAAACAGGTGGAACAATCCCTAACATTAAAGTTACTAGAATCTAGTCACTTCCGCCATTTTTTGGCAAATATCATGCGTTCTCTCTCTAACACACGAGCCCAATGGATTGCGGTACTTTCTATATTTAGTGACTTTAAGTACAACATGGCAGTTACGCCCTCTGTTGGTGATTTTTAAAACTTGAAAATATTTTCTAGCGATTCTTCATAACCGATTTACCCAATAATTTTTTTTACTCCTAAGACATACGACGAACGGTTCCCGAGATATGGCCGAGGAACGATCTTATTGGGTCACCCGGTACATTATGTCGCCTTCAGCTGTTTGTAATTCAGGGTAAATTGATATTGAGCTTGGGTGTTTGCTTTCAATGTAAAGATTTTTCCTATTTTGATTTGTTTGAGCCAGTTATGAATTTTCATTTTATTGTTTTAACTCATTTGGATTGATTAGCGACTTCAATTGTTTGTGTACGAATCTTCCTTTTTTGAGTGTAATTAACCTTTTCGCTCTTGTAGAGGTATATGCCGAACTGATAAAGATACTTAGCGGCATTTATCTCGAACTACAACTTTAGTCTAAGGTTACCGTATCCAGGACCTACAGATACATTCCGGATTCAAGGAGTTCCGGCTAATTAACAGCGCATTCTATATGTTCTTTATGTAAGAAACTGTATTCTTTCACACATGGGAAAGGATTGGTGGTTTTTCACAACGTACGGATCCGGCTGTTTTTTGGGTGCGAGGTTTGTATTACTACAATCCGTGTATTTCCCGCTTTTGTGAGTGCGGGAGCTGTCAGCTTGGGAACAACACAAAGTCCGCAAAAAAATCAATGCATTATCGAAACACACTCGGTTTAATAGATTTGTTTCAGTTTTTCTATGATTGTTGCAAATGCTGTGCTACTTCGAATAACTCGTAGAAAAGTGAAAACCTACCCAAACATATTGCATTGACGAATTGAAGTTACAGGGGCCAGTTGTAGTACGTATAGCTTCCAAATTGGAAGCGCGTCTTGTGGGACTTATTTCACTACTTTTGAAAATTTGTTTTGGAGAGGACAAAAGAAACATTCTTTTCTAAAAGTCAGTCCAAAATGTTCACATCTCCAAAAGTACCTACCAATATTATGCATTTCTTTGAGAAACACAATACGTACACGAATACAACTTTATTGTTGTCTAACATATTACATTCAATACACAAAATTTTGTGTAGAAGACGGTGCTTATTTACTTGCAGCAATTCCTTCCAGGGTAATCATCCCAGACAGTACTACAGGAGCCACTGAAAAGCAAGAAGAGTATCAAATAAATTATTCAACAATTTGTGCCAATGAAAAACCTATGATCGTCTTGTTAGTGCCATTTTATGGCACGAGACGAAGCTGGTGCCGAAAATATTTGAACTACAGAAAAAGAAGTGCTTACCAGTTAACTTCATCTGACCTACAAAACCCGGTAGTGCAACGACAAGTGCCCCCGCAGTTTCCTGCCACCATGCCAACCAATGCAATAATCAGCAGAGCTGCCAAGATGGGTAACTTGTTCATTTTAAATACTGCTGTATGTATATATTGCACGACGGAAAGGCCACGCTTTTATAGCACGTTCAAGTGGCGGAATCTTATCGGATTTCGTTTATTACACAGATTATCTTACTTGGTTTCCACTTCAACTTTGAAGTGTTTGTTACTAAAATTCGCAGGAGCATTTCAAAGCATGATGGATCAAAGAAAAATTAATTTAGAAGCAAAGTTTTAAAAACCATCTGTCATGTTACATTCAATAATAACAAATATATATTGATGAACATTTATTCGAGGTCATTGACTGCCGCCATCATTGTACCGACTGTGTCTCCTGTCCCTAGTAGGGACTATACATATAATCATGACATCCTTTTTCTTTAAACAAAGTTATACAAACAAAACTTACAGAGATACTTAAATACTATACTATTCTACAACATAATCAGACAAATATTGGGGTTTCTTAACTACCCTTCCAGTTCGCGTTTTACAAGAAACTTCTGGCTTAATTAATGAACTTAATTCCTGACGAGATTCCTGATTATTACTATTTTCTGTCTTTTCAGGATTTTGAACTTGTTCACTATTTTGCATTAAGGTTACAGGTTCATCTACGCGAAATTGTGTTGACGCTTTATACATATTATGCCGATTTCTATCTACTATATTACCTGAAGGTAACTGTACTTGGTAAGAACGAGGTCTATCTGCTGGACCTATTACTTTTACCGGTGTCATATTATGAACTTTATCTCGAATGTGTACTATTTCTCCCTTTTCGAAAGACAATGGTTTTACATTATTTTTTCTATCATGAAAATACTTATATTTTTCTTGAGAATGTTTTAGTTTATCTCTGATAGACTGTTCATTTGTTAAAAAAAAATCTTCAGTGGTAGGTAGAAAGGCAT